ACTACTGCCCTGTTCTGTGACAGTCACCTTTCACCTTTAACCTGTTCTGTGAAAGTTACCTTTCATTTCCAAAAGATTCTGCTATTCTGATTGGATGCCTCACTTAGCAGTTCCTTGCTTTGGTATTCATGTGCTAATTGACATCTCTGAATTCCTAAAAGTTATAAGCATACGTAGGATTTTTGATTAAAGCAAAAGAAAAATCACAATTACTTCTTCTTTAGCTATGTGCGTGGGAAAACAAATTAAAACCATGACTGATGGCTGTGTAATACATCTCGGTTGTTAAGGTGGAGACCTCAGGTCCACAGACCTCAGGGTGGAAAACTCAGACCTCAGTTCAGTTCCTTCTCAGAGAGTCACCTTGGTCATCTCTGAAAGCCCAGCAGGGGATCCCATGCCCTGCACCGTCCCCAGATCTGTCCCGAGAGGGGCAGAAGGGCGCTCCCACCATACCTTGCTGGCCCAGAACCCCTCTCCCCAGCTCCAGCAACCGCCGCAGCTGCTCGGGGCAGTCCCTCTCCAGGTAGGCCCGGTTCTGCTTGGACCGAATCTTGTTCACTTCCCACTCCAGCTTGGTGGCCCAGGCCTGGGGCTCTGCCGCTCTCCAATCCAGCGTCTCGGGGCAGAATTCAAGATGGTCCTGCCCGTCATACCCGTACTTCCAGAAACCTCTGGTGCTGTTGTCTGCGTGCACCTCACAGCCCAGGATCACCTGCAGGGTGTGGGACTCTGGCCACAGCCCCAGCTTTGATACTGAAACCAAGGAGCAGGATCCAGGGATGGAATGACCACAGGGAGCAAACTCCCTCCCTCTTCCCTGCCCTCCCAGGGTCTCACACACCCAGTTCTCTCCCTCAAGATGCATCCTTGAAATTAACACAACATTGTAAACTGACTATACTTCAGTTTTAAAAAGGTAGTTTAAATAGATGAATCCCTGAGGCAGGAAAGTGCTCCAAGCACCCCAGGACGGTGGGTCCCCCTCTGCACGTACCCTTGCTGTGATTGTGATTGTCCATGATGGTCCAGAAGTCGACGATGAACATGTGATCCCACCCTTTCAGGCTCTGGCTCAGCTGCAGCCACAGCTGGCTGGTGGCCCGACCCCAGACCCATGGGGCACGAGGCTCCGCCCGGCGACTCTCATGATTGTAGGACACGAAGAGCTGGTCGTCCACGTAGCCCAAAGCCTCAAACAGAGGTAGCCCCAGGTCTGGCTCTGAGGCACCCATGAAGAGGTAGCGCAGGGAGTGTGACCCTGGGGAGAGGGGGACTGGGAGGCAGAGATGCCACACACCTTCTGAATCCATCCTGCTGGCTGTGCCTGGTCTCACCTTATGAGAAGTGAGGCACAGCGCTGCCTTCCCTCCCCATGACCGTCCTGTCTGCTCCCTCCCTTCCTCTGCTATGGGTGGCTGCCACCCTCTTGCAGCCCTCAGCCTCTGCCCCAGACCTCGAGATTTCAGGATTACAGCCGTCTGCCCTGGAGCCAACAGGCTCTAGAAAATCCCCAGGTGTCTCCAGCTAGGGTAGCTGAGCTCAGGAGTTGGTGTTCAGAGCTAATTAGATCCAACTCCAGGGGAATGTATTGTAGGAGCTTTTGGGGTTTTTCCCCGCTATTTCCATCTCTAAACCCTTCCCTGTGTACAGGTAGACCTCGTTTTATTGCGCCTCACAGATAATGTGGTTTTTTTTTTTAACAGATTGATGGCTTGTGGCAAACCAGAATCTAGCAAGTCTATCAGTACCGTCTTTCAGCAGCATCTGCTCACTTCGCGTCTCTGTCATATTTTGGCCATTCTCCCAAGATTTCACACTTATTCATTATTATTATATTTCTTACAGTGATCTGTGATTAGTGATCTTTGGTGTTACTATTGTAAAAAGATTATGACTCTCTGAAGGCTCAGGTGATGGTTAGCATTTTTTAGCCATAAAGTATTTTTAAATTAAGGTATGTCTGTTGTTTTCTCAGACACAATACTATTGCACACTTAATAGCCTATGGTATAGTAAACATAACTTTTATATGTACTGGGAAACCAAAAGCGTTGTGTGAATCACTTTATTGTGATATCTGCTTTATTTCAGTGGTCTGAAATCTAACCTGCAATATCTCTGAGGTCTGCCTATGAATCTTTGCTGTTAAATGCTAGAAGATATGCTGATAAATAAGTCAGGGCAGCTTTTCAGCATCAAAACAGTTCCCAATCAAATGTAGAAAAAGCCCCAGAAAGCCCAAAATGACAGACCTCTGGGCCAGTGAGAGTTTCCCTACACCTCCCCTCAGCTGTAGAATGAGGGACTTCAGTGCTGCATAGGCAACGCCTAAAACAGCATCTGACATGTAGTAGGTGCTTAATACATACTGGCTGAATGAATAAATGCTGACTCCTAGGTTTTTATTTCTGGCCTTGAACTCTAGACTCGTACATTCAACTAGCTATAGGCTGCCACCAGCTGGATGACTGATTGGAATCTCAAACTTAACAAGAGCCCTGACCTCCCTACTCTTGATTTTCCCCAAACTGCCCTTCTTTGGCCTTTATCATCTAAGTAATGGAATCACCTATCACCCCATTGCTCAGGCAAATAAAATAAAACAAATAAGATAAAGTATAATAAAATAAGAGTCACCTCCAACTTTTCTTTTTCTGTCACGTGATCCTTCATAGCTCCTTCAGCAACTTCCTTCAAAATATATCCATAATGCAACCATTTCTCACCACCAGCCCTGCTCCCCTCCCCCAGCCTAGTGCATCATCTCGTGCCTGGATTAACGCTACAGTTTCCTTGTCTGCTGGCTCTGTTCTTATTGCTGCTTCCTTCACCCTGCTTTCCACAGAGCAGCCAAAGCAAGGTTTTCAACAGCTACTCTGATCAGGTCAGCCCCAGGCTAGAATCCACACTACAGCCTGCGAGGCCCTAGGAGGCTGGCCTGTGGCCCCTCGGCTGAGCCCATCACCAGTTCATGGCCCCCGGCCCCTGGGCTCCTGCTGCACCAGGGCCCTTGCTCTTTCTTCAATCCAGGGATTCTTAACCGGGGCATTTCATCTCTTTTAGGAGCCATTTTTGTTTGGCCCAACTGGGGAGTGTACTAACATCCAGTGAGTAAAGGACAGGGACGCTGCTAAACGTCCTACAACGCACATGACGGTCCCTACACAAAAAAATGTCAAGATTGCTGAGGTTGCAAATCCTTGCTGGGTCCACCCAGCCTGTCCGGGGAAGCGTCACTCCTACTCAGCATCACCCTTATTTCCTTGGGTCTATGCTCAAACATCAGCCAGAGAGAGTGGTCTACCCTGACCTCCCTGCTTCCCACATCTTCCAGGCGCCCATTGCTACCTGATGCTCTATATCCTTTTGTTGGTTTCTGTACCATCATTACGACTCAAATGCATAACATCTGAGGACTCAGCTCCCCACTCTCTCTCCTGGGTCTAGAACAGCTCAACACATAGCTCCTTCTATATTTGTGAACAGTGAATATTTCTGATCATCAAATTTTGGATTCAACCTCCAAAGCAGTGTGACTTTTAAGGATCACAGCTATGAAGTGGAGACACGGGATCTGCCTTGCAGCTCAAAGTAACATGGAACAAAGTTACTGGTGAGGCGGTCAGACCTCATCCTTGTCATGTATAAAGTGTGGATACACATCCCACCTACCCTCTAAGTGAAAGCGCCAGACAACAGTGAGGCAAACTCACTGTCAGCTGAGATTAGAACCAGTGGTACCTCATTTAACGTCAGAAAACCAGATTGCCCAAATTCTTTCTAACCAGGAGAAAGGATTTAACCTGAGGTCGTTAACCACTAGTAAAATCAACGTATTAACAGCCCCTACCTCCTAAATGCATGTTAGAATCAAACAAGATCAGAGATATGAAGGTGATTTAAAACTGAGGTCACTACTTAAGTGTTCATTATCATCACTTTGGCATCTTTTAGTAAAGGCCCGTTAATTATACAGTACTATTAACATTGCAAACCAACAACTTCAGGCTGAAAAGGAGACCAGTTAGGTGCAGTTCAAAAGTTCAAAAATAACAGATATGTTATTTTTTCCAGGCAAAAGAACAATCGCTAAGAGTCAGTAAGGCCTGGGGCCGACCTCTCTCAAGAGCCTCCCACCCCCAGCGGCCTCCACCCCAGGTCTTAACAGAAGGGGTGCGGTAGGGGTAGAACTCAGATCCCACACCCACTCCCACGCACCCCCACTCCCCAGCGCCAGGGGTTCTGAAGTGGAAACCCCACTTGGGTCGGTGCTTTTGCTCAGCCAAGTCTCCCAACGCTCGGGGGCGCCCTGCTGTGGAAACACCAAGGGGGCGCTCCGGCCAAGGTCGCCCTTGGTGAGAAGAACTTCCTGTTTGGGGATGGTCGAGGGGTGAAAATCAACACAGCCGACCATAGGAACCAGAAAGCCGAGATCAGAGTCCGAGGACCCCTAGGTGTAGCTCCTCCTCAGTGAGAAACTAAGATTTACATCTAAAAGCGTCACGGTCAGAGGAGGGAGGGGGTGGTTCCTGTGCCACTTCTTAGGACAGAGACAGCGGGCGGGCAGGGGGCGGGGGTCAAGGTCTTGGGACGAGAGGCCCCATAACCCCGTCTGCACCACAGTGGCCCGCGTCCCCTCCGGGGAAAGCTCGGGGAGGGGACTGCACACGGGACTGAGCAGTCGTCAATATCTTAGCAAACTCCCAAGCGCTAAGAAAAGCTACTTTCGATTTTTCCTCCCCCGCCGCACCCGAATCTGGCCCGCATCCCCCGGACTCACGCCGCGGTCGCCCCTGCGTGGCCACTGTCCGCAGGAGGATCAGCAGGAGAAGCGCCGGCCGGGCTCGCGGGCCCATTTCCCCGGCTCGGACCGCGCGTACTGGAGCGTTTCAGCCGCTTGGGTAGGGCAGGGAAACCGGGATGGCCCAAGAAGTCACCCTGGAGCCATTGCCGAGGCTGCGGGGATCCCAGATCAAATTTCCTGGCCAGTGAGATCCTTTTCCGGGGCCACTGGTGAAAAGAAATGGGTTTCCTGCACTTGAACTCTCTTTCCTGCAGCCCAAAGTACCTGCTTATGAAACACTCGGTTACCCAGCTGTCTCTGGTTTTTAAATCCAGAGGATGTTGCTGATTGAAGTAAGCATATTGAATGATTTTCTGATAGAAATATTTAAGATTTCAATATTGAGTAACTTGAAAATTCAGATATGCATTATTTTCAAAGACTTTAAGTTCAATTCGCCAATCTTGTTTAATTTAGAAATATTTTTGCATAAAAACTTGGTTATATTCTTTGAACAGAATTAGTTACATCATAAGATTAACAGATTAGGTCCTACCTATGGAAACATCTTTCACAGTTTACATAATTAAATTGCATTTCACAAACTTAACTGCACATTGGAATCACTTGGAGAATCAGAAAACCTATTGATGCCCTGGGCTATAGCCCCCAGACACTCAGATTTAACTGCTGTGGGGTGCTACAAAGGCACTGGGATTTCAATCACCTCCCCCCCACCCCCCAACACACACTATAAAGTTTCAGAACTATTGCCTTATCCATTTCAAAACGTTATTAAAATCTGATTTTCCTAATACCTTTTAACGCCTAATAAATCGAATAACTGATACCCTTTTAAGCACGTTAGCAAATTTTGGCCACCTAAGAAAAAAGTCTAACTTGGAAAGTAAGGTCCCTTAACTGTATGGGGTTATGAAACAGGATGGGGAAAATGTTGCTTTGTTGCTTTTATTTTTGGTGTCGCATCGAAGAGACCACTGATAAATCCAAGGTTGCAACGATTTACACCTATATTTTCTTCTAACAGTTTATAATTTTAGTTCTTACATTTATGTCTTTTCTCCATTTTGAGTTGAATTTTTAGATATAGTGTGAGATAGAGGTCCAACTTCATTCTGTTTCGTGTGTGTAAAGGAAAAACAGCTTTCTCCTTCCTATGTAAGGAAAAACTCAGTTCTTCCATATTGTATTTAATTTTTTTTAATTTCTGCGAGTCTCCCTTACTACTCATACAAAACACTTTACTTCTGACACTTCCAGTAACCAAAAGTGTGGAGATTTCCCCCCACAACAACAAGCAAATCTCTGACACAGCTGAGTGTCCTAGCATTTAACTCAATTATGACACTGTCTGCCTGGAGACAGGTTAAGCGCTCAGTCCCACAAGACTGGCCTCCTCCCCGCTCCCATTTTAGATGTCAGTCACAAGCCCAGGTTATCACTTATGCTTCTGACAGATTGGCTATAGATGGGAGGTTTGACTCCCTTCCTGAGTTCAATTAATTTGCTAGAGTGCCTTCTAGAACTCAGGGAAACATGTTTACCAGATATTAAAAGATATGATAAAGGATACCTTCAGTATCTAAGGGATACCTAAAGTACCTAAAAGATACAGAATTTTGGGTTGACAGTTATTTTCTTTCACACCTAAAAAATGGGTGTCAATTCCTTCTGGTCTCCATTTATTCAGATGAGGAATTCACTGTCACCTGAGTTGATATTTCCACTCAGGTGATAGTGAATAGTGGACAGTGATAGTTTCTTTCTGGCTGCTTTCAAGATTTTTTTTTTGTTTGTCTTTAGACAAACAAAATTGCCTTTCTAGAATTTTAATTATGAAGTGTTTGGCATGAGTTTCTTTGGTTATATTTTATTTGAGGTTTATTCACTTTATTTCCTTAACTACATTTTGAAAATCTGAGACATTATTTCTTCAAATACTCTTTCAGCTAGTTCTTTCCCATCTCCTGGGATTCTGATGATATCAATGCTAGGTTATTTGTTTAGGTCTACTCAAAATAGCCAAAGTAAATATGCTCATTTATAGACCCAAAGATACAGGCTCTCTAAAACGTATAAAAATAAGAAGCAAAAGCATAATGAACTTAAAGTTAAGGCTTAGAAGATGTTTCAGTAG